TCTGGCCCAGTGACACTGTTGTGAGCTGCAAAAGTTTGCATCCAAGAACGATGAGCTTCTCTATCTACGACATAGACAGTACAGTATTTACTGATGAATGCCACACATATACATTTGAACCTTGATACCTTGAACCTTCCTAAGTCAATTTTTTTTCAAGTCCCAGCGTGGAATTCCTTAAGAAAAAGATGCATTAAAATCCTTCATAGCTTGAAGGCTTTCCCTCTCAAACCTCAACAATTCGAAAAAAATGCTAGCCTTTTGGCTACTATTTTCTTGACACAGGAAAGAAAAAATTATTAAATAAAATGAAATTTAATGTGTTTTGAAAGGAAGCAAAAGACTAAATTGGGCAAATGAACCCATCCCTTCAAGTGCAGCACCCTTTCAACTCATTTAAGAAGCAGTTTAAGGCCTAGAATATTACCATTTACAATTTTGTGCAGTTCTTCCATGTTTTCCCAACAATTCTTGGCTCACTGACTCCCAAAGTCAACTTTTTTTCATTCTGGTCCCTTGAAATGGGACTGTTTTTTTCAATTTTGCAAATAAATACAGGTGAACCTCAATAAGCCAAACCTTCCTAAGTCAACATACAGTATTTTCAAGTCCCTGTCTGAATTCCCTTTATTAGAATCAATGCATTAACAACCTCTGTAACTCAAAGTCTTTTTATATAAAACCTCCGTAAGTCGAAATTTTCTGAGGCCTTCTGGTTATTATTTCCTTGAAATTATGAAAGAGAAAATGATTAAAACGAATAATTTGATGAATCTTGAAAGGAAGTGCAAAACAAATATAGCAAATGAACCCCAGCTAATGCCTTCAGGCATATAATATTAATGTGTAAACTCATTAAGGAGCAAGTTTAGGCCCAGAATATCTTCATTCATGATTTCCCACACTTTTTTTCACTTCTCCTCACAAGAAAAGTGTTTGCTTCCTCAACTGGAAACCTCCCTATAAGCTGAATTTTTTTTTCCTGCGGTCCCTAGAAATTTGACTTGCAGAGGTTCAACTCTCTGTTCTACAATAACCGCTGCCAAAATAAAATAAAATAAAAAAAAACGGAAAAAAGGACGCAGAACCTGGCTGGAACATGAGAAAAGAAGGAAAAAGAAGAGGGCAGATGCGTGGGAGAGGCAGAAAGAAATGGGAATAAATTCAGACACGCGAACCGAACAAACAAGCGAGTGAGTGTGTAACAGATCTCTCGCATCTGTCCGCAGCAGCAGAAAAAAGGGACGGCGAAAAAACCCCCAGATGCAACATGGTGTAGTGTAGGAAATAAATGGGACTGGCCGATTCTCCGACAAAGCGAAAAATTCCTCGTTTACCATCCATCCATCCATCCCTTCGCCTTTTGTTTTTTCCCCCCCGGAAAGGTCCGCATTTATTTCATTACTTTTTTCTAATTTTCTTTTTACTTTTTGGTCCAGCATGCAGAACCAGCACCATTAGAAGTAATTCCACGAATGCTGCACATCCAGTATAATGGCTCACACACGCGCAAGCGACACGCCACTGATCATCTCTTTCCCTATACACAGTACAGTACATATATATATATCTTTTGTTTTGTTTTTCTTCTTTAAAGTAAACTGTATTATATTTTCGTCTGTATGTTGAAATTTCAAACTCTGGAATCCTCATGAGTGCCACTGAAATAGGTGACTGACCTTTTAGAAGCTAAATTCACCCCATTTTTTTTCTTGTGGTGAGAAATGAGGCAATTCTTTTTTCTTTTCTTTTTTGGATTCGTTCACGTCAAGGCCCTTGATGCAGATGCCTCATGTTGAGTGCGAGGGTTAGTGACAGAATAACACTGTCAATTTTTCATTAGTAAAATAACACTTCCGCTTTGTTGAAATGTGTTACGAAAAAATAAATCGAGTAACGTTATTCCTGTTTGTTCGGGGGCTTGATTTGGATTTTTTGAGGTTGTTAGTCTGGTCTGGTTCTGGTTGAAAGCTATAAATGTGACAAAGAAAAAAAAAACAAGTTAAACTGGTGAGAGCAGCACAAAGTTGTGAGATAACAGTTGAATTTTTTTTCTGCGCTCATTCCAAAAAAAAAAAATAATGGGCACTGGAAAAAGTACATGGTGATTTTTTCTCACATTTAAACGCCCCAGCAAGATGCACAATAAGATGATTTTGGCTACTTAGCCCTGCTACGAAAAAAAAATATTACACTGAAAAATAGATAAAGGGGCAACAGTGTGTGGTTTCTTACGTCATCAATAGCCTCATCGCTTCAAAGCATCACGGTCACGCGCCAAACCAGTACACCACTCTTTTCCTCTCTTGGAAAATAAAAATAAAAACTGGCGGACCTTTGGCTCATGAATGATCTCACCGGCTCTTATTGGAAAATTATTGGAAAAGGATGGTACGTGTTTGTGTTTACCTGATGGACGAAGACATCCTGGCCGCCGTCGTTGGGCGTGATGAAGCCCCAGCCCTTGGCCACGTTGAACCACTTGCACTTGCCTCGTCTCAAACCGGTCGTGGATCCTGCAGAAAAACAAGCAATAAAATGATGACTGATATAGATGTATAATGTACAGTACATTAATTTAGAGGTGGTGACAAGAGAGAAATGCTGGTGCTATATACAGTAGTTGCAGAGCATCAAGTGGTTTTACCCCCCAGCAGCAGCGGACAACCATCATCATCTGAAGCGCCACGACGACGACGACGACGAGAACCCTCTTTACATGTTTCTCAAGGGGTAATTATAGGGGTGCATCATAATATTGAACCCCTCATGCAAATCCCATCTAGTTTCTGTCTTTTTTGAATTTTTTCTACATGATGATGCCAGTTATTGGGTGAGTTTTCACCGGGTGACGATATGGAGGAGAAGAACGAGAGGAAATGAATACGACAATTGCCTTGCCTACACATGATACATTTGCACATTGATACAGGCAGGCAGGCAGTCCTTCCTGACTGAATGAATGAATGCAGACTCGTTAGTTGGCATCAGAAAGAAGGGAGGGGGAGGAGGAGAAGAAGAAGAAGAAAAGCAACAGCCGCGGGGTGGGTGTCAATACGGCACCGGATCGATATGCCGAGATTTGTGACAGAAACACCCGGGTTTCTCTCTCGGATATGTCTGGCTTTTTCTTTTCATTTTTATTTATTTCATCTGTGTGTGTGTCTCTCTCTCCCCGTTCACCAGGAAATGGGTCGACGACTGCTGCTGCTGCTGCTGGCGGAAAAGTCGCTTTTGTTTTTCCTACATGTAGTGTCCAGCAGTGTTGCCAGCAGCGGTGCATTTGCATATGTTTTTTGAATAAGCAGGGAAACCTTGTTTCCTGCTTTGCACGAGTCAAATGAGACATTTTTGAAATTTCTATACCTCATCGGTCTACCTTGTTCTGGAATAAAAAGGTGCTCTTTGTCGTAATGAGACAAGAAGACGATCCTTTTGAATGATTAAATCATGAAAAAAAAAAATACCCTTCCTTCATCTGTGGAAATAATTCTGTGATAAGGGAGGAAAATCAAACATAACTTTGGGATAGTATATAGACTGCTGTACTTTGTAATGCACGAATCGAAGAATTTGAAAAATTAAAATGCGCATGAATAAATATTCCAGCACATGTGATGTAAATATACGGAATGACTCAATGAATGAACGCAAACAATCATATTTGCTGCTTGCTTTTTGTCGCTCGTCAGTATCATCATCGTGATAAAGATTATCGCAAACTGAGATTACCCAATCTATATTTACAGTAGAAACAAAAACATTCAGGAGGAACTTTCCTGCAGTCAAGAGTGACGGTGTGGGGATTTTCCGCAAAAAATACCCCCTGCGCAAAGTGACACGGAAATCTGAGTAATTCGCGCCAACAAGAATTGGCGCGCATAAACACAAGAGGCGGCAATAAAACCCTCAAAGAGATAGCCCCAAAACCATCAAAGCAAAGACCAGTAAAACGAGACCCCGTATCGAGAAAGACAAATAGCCCGCCAGCCGGGCAAGGAGTTCGGAAACCTTTTACGGCCAACATATGGCACAGATTTCCGCCCCTGCTCCGATTTTGCTGTCAACAAAGCACTAAAAACTCTACAAGACTCTCGAAGCCAACTGAAAATTCTAAAAGACTCCCACAAATCCAAATTCTAAAGGAAGAAATTCGTTACGCACGAATTTCGCATCCAGAATAGAATATATGACCGTTTGCAGCTGCCTTCCGCCGGAACTGCGTATATACGCGATATACGGCTCTCTAAAGAGAAAATGAGGTATATAAGGAGGGAAATTGGGCAAGACTCGACACTAGCGTGCCGAACTTTGACTGAACGCAACGTGTGTGTTATCGAATCATTTTACTGTGAAACTGAAGAAAAAGATTCTTGTGAAAAGTGTTTGTAAAAATCTTCCGAAAGGAATCTTGTGTGAAAGAACAAAGCTAGCGCTTATCTTTTTGGCCGGTCGCGCACTGGCCAATTGCTGTTTATACTTATTAAATTCCTCCTTATCATCAAATCGACTCGACTTTGTAGAAATACTTATATTCGAACTCATATACATATTTAAATATCTTCGTCCAATCAAAAAATTCCCACAGACGGAGTATTTTAAACGGTGCATTTGTCTACAGTGTATACAGTACAACCCTATTTGATATAGTGGACACTATTTTATATTTATTTCGTCAGCATAAACGCAAGCAGCATAATATTGCAGGGATGCTATACGATATCGCAGCATCAGATCTCAATTATTTTCAGCAACTGCATATATATATCCGTGAAAACACATGCACGAGACCTAATGATGATGGCAACCTTGCCAGGAACCCATATATACTGGTCGTGTCGTCTACAATACAGCAGCACAGTAGAATACATATACAGTTAAAGTACATATATATGTGTGTGCGAGTGCGGGGGATGAGAGGAAGGGAGAATAAAAGTGGCCGTGTTTCCCACACGTCGACCAGGAAATTCGTGGCGGTTTTGACCTGACGCGCGCGGGGGGAGAACATATGAGGAAAATAAGAGGGAAATCCTTACAACTGTCACCGACCAACGAATGCCCCCGGGGCCGGGACTCCTTTTGTCCTTCCCGCCGATGAATCCAACGCATTTCTCGCGCCATTGTTGCATTCGGAAAATCCCCACCGAGCCAGAGAAAAGGAGACGAAATACACAAAATTTCCCTCTCTCTCTCTCTTTCTCGTCCCCTTTTGCCAATACTGTATAATAATAATAATAGTAATAATCCCGAGAGTCGTCGCCCGTCCGTCCGTATCCCAACACACTGAAACTTATGCAAGGCTGGGAAGGAAACCTGCATGTGGAATTCTTTTCCTTGCCCATCAAAGGCGGTCGGGTTCGTGCGTGCTGATGAAAAGAACCCGGGTTTTGGACTGTGCTTGCTGGAGGAATGCTGCTGCTGCTGCTGCTTGGAGGAAAAGGGATGAATGTACAGTACTGTACCCCTGAGGATCAGAAGGGAGAAGGGGACACACATTCTTGTCATCCGTCCGGGCCGTGGGTCAAATACACGGACGGAAATAGGAAAGAAGACGTTTTTCCCTCATTCCATCCGGGGGGTAAAAATGCGGGGGTGGAGGTTGTTTTCCACTACTACTGCTGCTGCTGCTGCTGCTGAAGGAAAGCCCCCCTCTACTAACCCTTGTTGCTTTGCTTCTCGGGTTTCGTATAGAGTACAAAAAGAGGAGGGGGGGGGGGAAGGGATTCCTTACCCCACAACTGCTCTGACCATGTTTGCGTGAGCACGCCGAAAAAAGACGAGAAATATATAAGGGGTAACCGTGGCAAGAATTTCTTCTTNTGTTTCCCACACGTCGACCAGGAAATTCGTGGCGGTTTTGACCTGACGCGCGCGGGGGGAGAACATATGAGGAAAATAAGAGGGAAATCCTTACAACTGTCACCGACCAACGAATGCCCCCGGGGCCAGGACTCCTTTTGTCCTTCCCGCCGATGAATCCAACGCATTTCTCGCGCCATTGTTGCATTCGGAAAATCCCCACCAAGCCAGAGAAAAGGAGACGAAATACACAAAATTTCCCTCTCTCTCTCTCTCTCGTCCCCTTTTGCCAATACTGTATAATAATAATAATAGTAATAATCCCGAGAGTCGTCGCCCGTCCGTCCGTATCCCAGCACACTGAAACTTATGCAAGGCTGGGACGGAAACCTGCATGTGGAATTCTTTTCCTTGCCCATCAAAGGCGGTCGGGTTCGTGCGTGCTGATGAAAAGAACCCGGGTTTTGGACTGTGCTTGCTGGAGGAATGCTGCTGCTGCTGCTGCTGCTTGGAGGAAAAGGGATGAATGTACTGTACTGTACCCCTGAGGATTAGAAGGGAGAAGGGGACACACATTCTTGTCATCCGTCCGGGCCGTGGGTCAAATACACGGACGGAAATAGGAAAGAAGACGTTTTTCCCTCATTCCATCCGGGGGTAAAAATGCGGGGGTGGAGGTTGTTTTCCACTACTACTGCTGCTGCTGCTGCTGAAGGAAAGCCCCCCTCTACTAACCCTTGTTGCTTTGCTTCTCGGGTTTCGTATAGAGTACAAAAAGAGGAGGGGGGGGGGGAAGGGATTCCTAACCCCACAACTGCTCTGACCATGTTTGTGTGAGCACGCCGAAAAAAGACGAGAAATATATAAGGGGTAACCGTGGCAAGAATTTCTTCTTTTTTTGCTCATCCAGCTGCAATTTCTGCGCTTTCTTTTTCCTCCCCCCGACTCGAGCCGTGCCAATTTTAACGCACACCTTTCGGCACTAAACAGTACAGTACGTCTATTCCTGCTGCATCTATTCATCGTCGAATTCGGTCACTGAAACCCACCCTCGTCAGCATTAACGTGCTGCTGCTGCTGCGGGGGTTTTGGGGGTCGGAAAGAAGAGTACAGTACAGTATGTTGATGGATTCTCCACCAGAAGTAGTTCTGATAAGTCTGACGTATTTTAAAATACAGTAATAATGTACAATTAATTAGACGTTTTCCTTTTGGTCACCTCATTACATGACGGATTATGCTTCATAAAAAAAGTACTCGAATCTAAAAATTTAAAAATATATGAGTTTCGGGCGCAACTGAACGAGGTAATAGGACTGCGAATGATTCCAAACAATGTGCAGATGGGCCGTCTTCTTGCAAGTCTGATAGTCAACGTGCATTCGGCCAAGTGAAAGAAAAAACAATTCTTCATGCATATTTTCAGCTTTCATCAACACCCCCTGACTGCTATTATACGAAATTATTTTCGAAGAATAAATCTACATTGTAATTTCTTACCCATGTAAATAACAATTAATCTGCGAATGTCGACAAACCCAACATATATCCCAAAATATAAAGAAAATTCCTGGTACTATTCTCCTCTTTTTCTTTAAAATCCAACGAGTAAATAAGTGTTTTCAGATGAATATACTGTGCTGTACAATACAGTACTGTATTGTGAAACGAATTTTCAAGAATCAGCTGCATAAGAATGCAAAATCAACTGCTGGACCAAAATGGACGAGACAAATGTTACGATGCTTGGAACGTTACAGCGATAACTCGCAAAAGATTGGCTCAGTTACTAATGTTTCACTCATGCAAAATTTCGCCAATTTTGAGACTAATGTTTCAGAAGTTACTCAGAACAATATTGTACTGTATATGCAAAACTGGATGCAATTCATTTGATGGGCTGGCAGCAACGAGGAAAACAAGTATTTCTTATTCCCATATTCCTCTCGACGAATACCAAGACATTTTTATTCCTTTTTTATTTTTGTGTCTTCAAAATCCTATCGAAACTTATATTTTATTAGCGTATCTAATTACGGGCTAGTAAAGGATTTTCAATAATAAACGAGAAAGCTGGAACACGACAGGATGTTCCCCCCCCCGACGTCGGTCTGAATTTCAGAGCCCTGCCCCCTCCAACTTCCCATTTGAAATTTCCAAACACGTCGACTCTTCATTGGCCCGTCGGCTTTAAACATGGCGTTCGAACCACTGCTGCATAAAAAAATTAATGCTGCATCACTCTTATTCGGGATTTCTTTTTTTCTCTCTTTCTTTCCTCGCCCATGATTGTGTCTCACAGGAAATGAACTTGCCACTCGAGTTTCAGCGAATAAAGTCAAGTGAAGAGAATAACAACGCATCTTTCGTATATATGTAGCATGCGACACGCCGTTCAATTCGGAGCATATGACGTACACTAGTCTCATCGTCACTAATATACAGCAAGCAGTAGTTCGTTTTTCTTATACAACTCGAAAAGAAGAAAGGAGGTACTATACTGTGTATAAAAAAAAATAAATAAAAAATAGCCCATCATCTCATCGATCCGGCGGAAAACGCAGGTGATGCGTGTCAAAAAACATACTCACGTGCACAGGGACGAACACATGCCGTGTGGCAAACACTTTTGCACGGGCACTTAATCGCCAAAAATTTCACCGGGGGGGAGTAAACGAGAGGAAGAGGGCTCTCATCGTCATGTGCCAAAAAAATAACTAATACACCCGTGCAGAGGGATGAGAATCAATTTACTCGCCACCACACGACATGTGGGAAAGGTTTTTTCCTCATCGTTTTTTTTTCTTTTTTTTTTTTTTGCACACATCATCTCGCCCTCGACCCACCCGCAACAAATTTTTTTTTGCGTGGGCACCTGGGGGCTTGTTACCTGTTGCAGCAGGTAAACTTCGACTGTTTCCCTCATCGCAGAGGATTCGCCACAAAAAAAAAAAAACTTGAGCTGTATGTATGTACATGTGCAAAAAGGATGGGCTTTCTCGAAATATTTTTGCCAGCATCCAATTATGGCATTTGGACGGGACTTATATACTGCTGTACGTGAGTATTCGTTTTTACCAACTTATTCTCGGTTCCTCATATTCCAGGGATATAAAGATGAATTAATTATCGAATCCGAATAATGCTGGTAAAGTAGCCTTTACAGAAATGTTTTTTGACGGAAATTGCTGCGTTAGTCACTTTTTCCAATGAAGAGAATGAAAAGTTGGAAACTCGGCCGATTATTTGCTCTTGAATATGACAGCTTTAAGTCAATTTTAGTTGCTGAATCACGATCGTGGGTGAATTCCTAATGACACCCATTATTATGAAGAGCAGTGATCATCTACAGAGGGTTCGTAAAATTATTCTTAGTTCTATATCTCAACGATTATACCCATCATCTGCTCATTCCACAACTGCGTTCGGGCTTTTTATTTTTCCTTCAACAAATAATTCAATTTGCGTTTGACATTTACAAAAATAAAGACTTGGTCATCCGCAAGACTTTTGAGAATCCCCTCCCTTTCGCCCATCCTTTCTCCTCCTCCTCCTCCTCCTCTCTCACCCCGACCCCACACAGGAAGAAGAAGAAGAAGGAGAAGGATGAAAGGACGGAAACCCCTGCGGGCAAAAAAAGGGGGAGGGGTTCAGGTTCGTTCGGGCCAAATAAGTTATAACTTTCCAAGGCCATCTGTCGTCGTTGTCGTCGTCGTCGTAGACTGGAAGAAAAACGCCGGCGGCGGCAGCTGCTGGGACGCAAGTGATAAGTGACATCGATATCGTACCCCCGAAAAATGCAAACAAGCAAGGGACGGGTTGCATTTCCAAGAGAGAGAGGGGGGGGGGGGGTTTATCTGCAGCAGACGCGCAACAAACCCCCCGCGGCAGGAAGCAAGGGGGTGAAAAGGGCACAGCAGGGACTGACTGCCAAACATTTTTTCGCACGGTGTCAATAGCCTTTTCCTCCTCCTCCTCCTCCTCTCCTTTCTTTCGGGAAAAACAAGTCATCGCAGCTATAGGGATTGGGGACAGGGAGACAGATATGCAAGAGCTGATGGATGGATGGATGGATGTAACTGATACTATGAGAGTAGTTTACACAGCAGGATGATGATGATGATGATGAAAGTACTGTACAGTACTGCGGTGTACTCACCATTGACCTTGTCGGATGGCGTTTGCGTGTCTCGGTGCTGCTGGTCGTCGTTGGTTCCGGCCTTCGGGGAGCCATTGTGGTAGTTGTTGTTGTTGTTGATGGTGGTGTTGTTGTTGTTCTTCACCTGGCTTCCGTCGTCGTTGGTTGTTGTTGTTGCTGTTGTCGTCGTCGTCACCACGGCGTCGGTGTTGGTTGCCGTGCTGGTGGTGGTGGTGGTGGTGTTGGTGGGAGACGATGTCCCTGATGTTGCACTCGTCGTGGTGGTGGAAGTGGTGGTGTTGGCGCTATTGTTGCCGTCACCAGTCGTCGTCGTCGTCGTTGGCGTCGGCGGCGTGTCGGAGATGTCAGTTGCTGGCGGGGATCCGGTTGCCATCGGCTCCGTGGCCGCGTCCACCACGTCGCGTCCGGATCGCACCTGCTCAGCTTCCGTGCCGCTCCTACCTGGGGCCACGTTCCCAATCGTTGACTCGGGGGGTACGTGTGTATCCACTCCTTGGTGGTGTTGTTGTTGTTTTTGTAGGCTTGTGATACTTCTTCTTCTTTTTATTCAATTCTTTTAGCTTCTTCTTCTTCTTGAAGTTGGCCGAGTCACGCAGTGGGTATTGTTATTATTTCAATTATTGATGATGCTGGACGTACACAGCGATAATAATGAGAAGCCGGACAGCATCAACTGCGCTGCTGTCGCTTGATATCGTCAGCAAGCCCTGCGTCGTGGAGAGAAAAAAAACGAAAAAAAGGTTACAATTTCAACCGAATCATCGAGTCAACCCGAAGCTATAGCTGCATGATGACTAATGGATGAAATCTGATACGAATTCGCTGCACTATACTTTGCGCGCAAAAAAAAGAAAAAAGAAAAGAAAAGACTGGTGATGCATCAATTAGGAGATAGCGCTGATGATAAACTCGAGTACCTCATGGCTGCATGTTAGTATATACAGCACCGTACGAAATTTGAATATTGCACGTTATACAGTACATATACAGGTTGCGCCGAAAAGCTGTTTTAAAATTCAGAGAGATGGCCTGTTACGTGTTCCAAATGACATTCAAGAGAATAAGAAATCGTTTGACAGGCATTCTCAGCTGAATACACAGTACTGTACTTCATTTAGAATCTTGATTGTGCTGTCTCATCAGTGGGTATTGGGAGACTACGCGAATGAATGAATAATTAAAGCATAATCACTCTCTCTCTCTCTAATTCCCAAGGAAAATTGCATGCGATATGATTACCCTCATCAAGATAAAATTGAAAAAAATGCGTCTCTTCAGCCAGTATAAGCAGTAATGAGGAATCGGCGAACAGAGGAGAAGGACTTCACTTATATATGCACTCACACACGCACACACACACACACACACACATGTTACAGTATATACGAGAAATGCAAGTTGCCAAAACGTTCGAGCATATCGGAGATTGGCAAGCAACTGGCGGATGTCTTGGGCATGCGGGCATATCCCCGAGTGCCGAGTCCTGCAGCACGCACCAGCAGCAAGGAAAGAACCCACCTCCTCCACCCTGAAGGAGGGGGGGAAGAGGAGAGGCGAGGGAACCTTGCCCCCGAACCAAGAATTTTACCCCCAGGGCAACCGAAGAAGAAGAAGAAGAAGAAGGGAGAAGAAGCAGACAAACACGGGACGTGTGTGTGTGGGAGGATATGCGCGATTGCGACGTGCAAAACAACACAGAGTGCAGAGAGAGGGAGTGAGAGACCGGAATTTCGACGGGCAAGAAGAATCCTCGTACGTGAATGTGTTGTGTGTTGCCCATGTGCAACTTTTGATGCAAAAAAAAGAGAGAATAAGAATGCCTGTGAAGAAGAAGAAGAAGAAGAAGAAGAAGGGCCCTGCGAGGAAGAAAAGCAACGCGTCATTCCTCTCGGTTCCTTCCTTCGTTCGTTCGTTCGTTTGATTTTATTTTTCATTCTTCCACCCAGCCACCGAAGAATGATCCAATGCCTCGATTTGCACTTTGAATGCGCCAATCGAACTTTGGAATCTCGAGGGGCTGACTGCAATGGAGAAGCAAGCAATTTTATGCGTACAAACAGTATACTGTACACAGAAATTCATTATTTCGAATTCGAAAACCTGGGCCAAAATCACGCAACTCGAAGAGTAATGTGTGCAAACGACTTGCGGTATTTTAATGCAGGCAAAGGAATCAACCGCGGTAGAATGCCATAGGCAATGTGAGAGGTCCTCAGACCCCAACACAAATATCAGGTTTTTAGTGAAATAAGTTTATAGCACAATCGGCCGTTTGCGGCCTAAGGGTCCTGAACCCTCAACTTGTGTTTATCAGCAATGTCCAAGTCCTCAAATAATATTTCCCAGCAATAAATATTTTTCCTGAAGATCAATATCTTCAGGTTTCATAATGTTTGGATAAAAATATTTGTTCTTTTTTGTTCCACAATATTCTCGAATTTATTTTCTCGTACGACGTAGCGTTTCCATGCGCTGCGTTGCACTTTCTGTGCCTCTCCTGTTCGTGCGCTGCGGGCGACATCTAGTCGACCCGTGACAGGCAAGTCGGAAATGCCGAATAATAATACGGAATAAAATATAAAATTGTCAACAACAAGACAACAGGAGTATGCATACGGTATTCTGCGATGCATTTCGAAAGAAGAATGCACTGAAAAAAAAAATAATAATTTATAGCGTTCACGCGATTTTTCATTTGGATGCAGAACCTTTTTTCCACCCCGTTCCTTCGTTGTTGTTGTTTTTTGGACACCCATGTCTTCATATATAGCCATCCAGCATCTTATATATATGTTTAATCAAAACTCCGGATAAGCACAGGAATATTTATTTCAAATTCAATTTTTTTTAAACGGTCACGTTCTCTGCTGGTCATTTCCATTTTCGAGAATAAAAACGAGGACGGCGGTCATATTTGAAGGAGTGCTTATTATTGAAGACATAAAACAAAACCCCCATGCACTGTCGCCAAAAATTAGACATTTTTGAATATCATTATAGAATCCTAGTTGCGTAAAAATAGAAGGCATCATAATTCAAAGTTACTTGAAACAATTTTCGTGTGGTTCTCGTCTATCCAATTTTGTCTGTAGCACAGCACAGTACAGTACATTTCGTTGGGTACGTATGTACAGTAGTAGACTAGAGAGTCGTTGAAACCAGACAAGGTATTCCTCCCTTGGGTCCCATCGAAAGTGGGAACCTCGTAGTATAGTTAGTTGTCTTCAATTTACCCAGGGGGGGGCTTTCCCGCTGCTTTCCTAACCGAATTATGCGTAGCAAATTCTTTCCAAGTAGGGAAACAAACGCACACGGAAGCTGCAAACTTTGTTTCCGAGTATACGTAACCCAAGCACTTCTTGCGTTGCTTCCGTGTGCATTTGGCGCCACGTTCGTACCAGGAATGAATTTATTTTTCCTTGTTGTTGTTGTTGCGTGTGCTCTTATTCTCGGCATCATCGGGATTCGAGAGGAACGAGAAAAGCGGTTGGGGAAAGTATATCTAGTTTTCCTCTTGTTATTTTCGAAACTTGCTGTTGCTGCTTTTGGGAGCAGTTTAGAGAGTCGTAGTCGGCGTCACAGGCAATAAATCAGGGAATTAGGTCCCTGTTGCTGCTCTAGTGCTCTCTGCTCTGCTGGTGGAGAAGAAGGCCCAAGGGGCAGGGCAACAACTTTCCCTTTTTGCTGGGCAGCAGCAGTGAGGAATTTATTTCGGATCGCGTCGCGGCCATTTTCAAGCCCGGGCCACGCACTCTCGTACTATAATGGCGACGCAGAACTTGACCCATGAAGAGTTCCTGTCTTTCCCGCATACAGTATATATATACAGTATATACGCCATGATGACGAAGTGGTGGTGGTGCTGCTGCTGCTGCTGCTCAACCCTCCTCTTATTCTTCCCTCCTCCTCCTCCTCCTCCTCCCCCCTTCGATGATCCCCCCGTGCTGGCATAGAGTACATTCAGAACAGTACATGTATATATATATATATATATATACATATATATATTTTAAAAAATATATATATATACAGTATAGATACAGAGATAGAGAGAGATAGAGGGGATCCCGAGAGGGCCTCAAGAAAAGATCCCCTCCCCCCTTTTTCTAGCCGTTCGAGGGGGGGTTGCGATATAAAAACTTGCTGCTCTATATATGTATATATCCATCCCTCTTTCTCTGTCTTTCTCCCGCCATCGCTTTTCCTATAGTCTCAACCACTTCTCCTTATTCGCTTCTCTCACCCAATCATCCCAACCGTCCACGTTCGTATACAGTATATAACCTCACGAGAAAAAAGAAAGAAAGAAAGGAATGCTGACATCGCCAAAAATTTCGGCAACCGGAATTTGTCACGCGAGACTCTCGGTCGACAAAAGAGCGCAGAAACCTCAAATAAGGAAGAGGGTTCCCGGCTTTTGTCCTCCTTTTCCTTTTTAAGAGCTCGCTCAAAAAAAAAGAGACGAATATTTTCTTTTTTTCTCATTGCTAAAAATAAATTTTAAAAAAAACGTAGGAATTCCTCACCTTGCGCTGAAAATCCTTGGGTGGGCTTCCGCAACGTCGTCGGTATAGGCAGTGCAAATACAACGCCGTCGGCAGGTCCACGAGAGAGAAATGGAAGTTTTTTTTACCGCGGCGAAAATTCCGCCGTCAGACGAGTTTTACAATAAAGAAGAATAATGGATAGTAATACAGTAGTGCGGTAGTAAGAATAAGGACTTTGGGCGGAAGAGTGGGTGGGAAAAGAAGAAAGAAAAAAATAACTCGAAAAAAAAGAAATATGTATATATGTACGTATGTAACACTTCTTGAAGTACGTGCACCGACTTCACGCCATCTTCGGTCCGTTCATTTCAGCGTCACTCCATATTCAATTTCTTTCTTTCTTTTTTTTTGCCACTCTCGTCGTCACCCACTGTCCGAATTCTCGTCGACGGCAACACCCATTCTGTCCACTGCTGATGTTGACGACCAGCACACATAAATGCAAAATGCGATTAGATTCGTCAATTCATGTATGATGAAGAATCCCTCTTTCGCGCGTGTCGAATCAACGCGATCGAAAATCACAACCTATTTCTTTCTATTTTTCTCTATACATCACGAAACCACTTGAAGCATTTTTTTTCTTCCTTTTTTCTACCAGATTGAAATGTGAATGAATATTATATAAAGTTCTCTCTTTTTTTTCTCTCTCTCCCTTGACTGAGTATATTTCTCCCCGCGGGGGGTTTTTTCCAGCAATTGCAATGATGAGAGTCCACCCAGGCCTGGCGCTGCTGATCGTCTGTATCTCGCGAACCCGGGCGCGATGTTGCGTCCAACCGTTGCAGTCATGCCACATGTGTTTCATTCTGGCGTGCCGGTTGCGGACCAGCATACGTATCTGCAGCAGTCATGTGCAGCAGCATGCATCCCGGTACTGCATTTTACAGTACATTACGTTATGCCCTCATATTAGCGAAAAACCGCTTCTTCTACTATAAGGTGTATAGGTGGTGAGACGTCCATCATCAAGTCAAGATTGAACGTTAGCTCCAACTCATTTAAAAGAAAAAGGAAACAAAATTGAAAGCACTGTCGATTAAATAACCTTAAGCAAAACACTGAAGGAATCCTAAATGCATATACAGTACTGTACAGTACATGGATGTAAGTTAATTATTTTACTATAGCAACATTTAAAAAATTTAACCAATGCCTAAGAAAGTTTGGCTCGTCATATTTCATGAGGCTGCTGATTGTGAAATTATGATGGCTGCTTCAAGACAGAAATTACGTATCTGTTATTGGCTTGAATGGACCATTGCAACTCCTCAATGATGCTTGCATTGCTTGATTTTGACATTGATGATTACATTTTGTGTCTGCTTCAAGACGCACCTACATCCCAGGTTCATTATTGTATTTAGCATCGGTACGTTGGATAGATTTGGTTAGACCAGTCTGACAATATAGGTTCCCTGTGATGATTTCCGGTTTATTCGTCAGTGCTATTCAAGTCACGGCGATATTTCGATGCAAATTTATCAGTATTATTTGCTGTACCGCGGAAAGCGAGCAACTGTACGCAAGGAGGAGGAGGAGGGGCCTAAAAGTACCGTACCCGTGTGGCAACACTGGGTCGACGTCGCAGCTTCTCCTTCTTCCTCCTGGTTCGCTGTTGAGCCAGAGGGGATCGCGCATGACGATTCCAGCAACTGCCTTTTTCCTCTCGTCCCCGAAACCTGCTGCTGCTGATCG